GCCCATTCCACAGAGGGATACTCTCTCAGCCTAGACACATGGGGGAAGGCTAGGCCCTGTTCCAAATGATATGACAGACTTTGAAGATCCTCACCCTCCCTGGGGAGCAGAAGGGGGATGGAATGGGGGTAGGGGGAGAAAGGGGAGGAGTGGAGGATGAGTAAACTGGGATTGACATGTAAAACAAGCTTGTTTCAAGTTTAAATAAAAAATATTATCATTAAAAAAAAAAAAAAAAAAGGGTGTGCCAAAATCCTGACAAGGCTAGCCACACACCCAGGCCACCATGGCTCCTGTCTTTTATCTCTGACAGGAGGTAACAGTGTGTCATCCCATCTGTGGAAACTTGACTTCACAATCTGTTATCATTGGCTAATCAGTACAGAGGAGCCAGGGAATGCTCAGAAAACATGAGTACTTGTTGACTAACTACCTTTGATTAAATAAATAATAAAAAAAAAGTGTTACATTTACACCGAAGTTCACTGGCTATGAGATTATCATGATTTGAAAAGTACAAATCTTCTTAGTGAGGGTGTCTACTGCTGTGATAAAACACCATGACCAAAGGCAATCTGGTGACAAAACAGTTTATTTCCTCTTACAGCTTATACTCCACCATCCAGGGAAGTTGGAGCCTGATGCAGAGGCCATGGAGGGTGCTGCTTACTGGCTTGCTCCCCATGGCTTACTCAGCCTGCTTTCTTAGAGCATCCAGGACCACCAGCCCAAGAATGTCAACAACACAGTGAGCTGGGCCATCCCACATGGATTATCAATCAAGAACTCACCACAGGCTTGCCCACAGGTCAATCTAGTGGGGGCATTTTCTCAACTGAAGTTCCTTTTTCCAAAATGACCCTGGCTTGTGTCAACTGACAGCGCAGGAGTGAAGAAAAGCCAAGATATGTAGGGACACAAGAATGAATGAAAGTGAAGCCTAAGGCTAAGCTGGTGTTAACCAAACGGGGTGGATGGGGGCTAGAGAATAAGGATGCTTTCTTACAGGCCTCATGGTTACCCTGGGGTAAAATCCATAGGCTCTGGCTGAAGCCTCCTGTTGAAATTCTGACTCTATTACTATGGTGCTTTGAAAAAAAAAAAAAAAAAAAAAAAAAAAAAAAAGAAAGACAAAAACCCAAAGGGAGTAGCATCCCAAATGGTGTGGCTTTGATGGAGTAGGTGTGGTCTTGTTGGAGGAAGTGTGTTACCGTGGGGGCGGGCTTTGAGGTCTCATATATGCTCAAGCCATGCCCAGTGCCTCAGTTCACTTCCTGCTGCTTGTGGATCAAAGATGTAGAACTCTCAGCTCCTTCTTCAGCACCATGTCTGCCTGTACACTATCATGTCCCACCATGATGATAATGGACTGGACCTCTGAACTGTAAGCCCCCCAGTGAAATGTCTTCCTTTGTAAGAATTGCTGTGGTCATGGCATCTCTTCACAACAATAGAAACCCTAAGAGGATCACTTAGTGTCTTTACTCATGTAGTGCCTCTGTGCTGTAAAGTTCCCCAAGAACAAAACTAGGCTGATACTCCTGTAAAGGCTGTTCTGTATATTAAATGTTAATACAGATAAGTATTTAGAATAATATCTAGTTACATAGCTGAATGTGTATATGTTGTTGTTATTATTTTTAAGAATGTGGCAGGCCGAATTTCCTAAAACTAAAATTTTTAAGTTTGGGAGGGAAAAAGTTCTCATGACTAGACATGGGTGAGAGAAAAAACAAAAACTATATAGCTATCTCTCTGACTCCACAAAAGAACATGGGAAATATGCTTTGGGTGAGAAACTATGCAGAATGTTTAGCATGGAAGCCATACTTGGAGCTGAGGACAAAATAAACAATGAAGCTGCAGAAAAAATTTTGAAGTTTTCAGAGGATTCCTTTCCCAGCATGGTCTTGGCTCAACAACTGGGTAAGGCTGATGAAGTTGGCCTATTGTGAAGTTACTTGCTATGCTTTGCCAGTATGGTGGCACACTCCCTTAATCCTCAGAGGCAGGGATTTCTGTGAGTTTGAGGCTCGTATGTCTACATAGAAAGTTCCAGGCCAGCCAAGGAATAGTGAGACCCTGTCAGGAAGGAAATATTAATGAATCTAGTGCCTGCCAAGGGTTTAACCAGAGTGAAGACAAACTGAGTACTCTTTCACACTAAAGCTGTGGGTTTCTATCAAATAGAAATATGTTAGTTCAAAGTTTTTATTTGTCTAAAGTGTTGAGTTTCACTTATTTAAACCAGCTGTTGGTGGTAAGCACCTAGAGTGTTAGTAAATGCCCAAGTCTAGCCCTGAGGAGGTGGAGGCAGAGAGACCCTGATTTTAAGGTTAGCTTCATGAAAGTTCAAGGTCAGCCGGGACTACAAAAGATTCTAAGTAAATAAGATTTCTAGTAATAATAATAAAAATAAAGATTTCACAATTTGGTTATTGCTAAGGTATATGAGTATAGTACACATGTATACAGCTTTTGAGTACAGGCATGTACACCATGCAGGTGCACTTGCCTCTGCATGTTTGTAGAGGCGAGAAGGCGGCATCCAGTGGTTTCTGTCCTTATAGGCAGGGTCTCTTCTTGAACCCAGATAGCAAATCTTTTTTCTTTTTCTTTTCTTCTACTTTTTTTGAGACAGGGTTTCCTGTAGCTTTGGAGCCTGTCCTGAAACTCTCTGTAGACCAGGCTGGCTTCAAACTCATAGAGATCCACCTGCCTCTGCCTTTTGAGTGCTGCAATGAAAGGTTTTCGCCACCACCAACCAGCTTGTCTGTAAGTTCTTATGAGGCTCCGGTTATTTTTAAATGTTATTTATCACTGTGTGCACATGAGGAGGTAGGGGACAACTTTGTGGAGTTGGTTCTCTCCATTTACCTTTAGTGGGAGCTGAGCTCAGGCTGCCAGTTCTGTGAAATTATGTGCCTTTACATGCTGAGCCCTCTTGCAGGTCCTTTTTTAAAATTTGTTGTTGTTACTAGTTTTATTCATGTGTATGATATGTGTCTTCTGCTGTGTGTGAGTGTTATGTGTGTGTATATGTATGTGTGCTGGTAGGAGACCAGAAGAGGAAGTTACTGGAGTAATGCAGTAGACAAGTGCCCTGAATAGCTGAGCTGCCTCTCCAGCCTCTCTTTATTGTTTTAAAGGGGGGTGGTGGTGGTGGTGGTGTAGAAATTACGAAGGAAAGGAAGCAAGCTGAATGGATAGGACTGGCAAAAGCAACAGCGGTAACAATGGGGCCAGGAATATTTCTAGAGGTTTACTCTTACTTTGGCTGTCATGGTCTGCAGTCTTTTTCATTCTGCCCATTTGAGGTGGTTGTTTCTTCATTGTCTCTTCATTATGTTCAGAAACAAAGAGATGGATCTATTCCTAGTGGCAACCCTATCCACCTTAGTCCATTAGGATGTAACCCTAGGCTTTCAGTTCTAATTATTAGCTTCTCCACAGTTTAAAACTGAAAGTCCGATTCTTTGCTGCCAGAGGATTTTGTTTTTTAGTTTTTTTTTAAACAAAAACCCTCCACAAACATGTGAGTTTGATGCCATTGCAGTTGCTAGAAGTTGCCAGAAGGCTGTCCTCCAGATAAGTGTCCCTTGCTGTAGCTTATATTACTGTTTTGTTACAATTAGCATTCAGAATATGCACTGTCATCTTATTAAAATTTATATCTTTTAGCAGAGAAATCAAATGGAGTTTATTGTGGAGCTGTTGGCTCATCCTTGCATTTCTTAGTTACCTGTGTCTGAATTCAGCTGAACTTCTGAGCTTCAGCTATTTCAAATGGGCATCACAATATACTAAGGTTAATGCCTGGGAGTGGGGATATTAACCTTGCAGACAGTAATCTAATTCAGTGTCATCACAAGTGCATAATTCAGGAGTCTGGAGTTTTGCCAAAAACCACTATTCAAATGAACATTCAGGGGTGGGGAGGTGGGTGTGGACAAGGAGAATTCCAGAAATAGTTTTGTAGGAATTTTAATGTCCTTTCCCTCTCACCTCAAAGATTATGTTTAAGTATTGCAGAGAGGTGCTAAATAAAGCCTTGGATTAATGAAGAAATCATAATGAAGGTGCTCCATCTCATAAAGTCCTGATAACCGTTCAACTTTCACTGAACTTATTAGGTTACCTAGCTGACCTTGTACTAGTGTGTGGCTACAAAGGTGAGTCATTGTTAAGCCATCCCTTTGTAGAGGTAACTCAGTGTCCTGATGTTGGTTAAATGAGGGTAGGAAGGGCACAATTTAGTGAAGGTCACCAAAGGGTCTCCAAAAGACGGGACAAATGAGAAATCTTAGGTCTGTATAGATCATAATCACATCATTGTTGGTACACAGAACGAGGTTTGGGCCCAACAAAGTCCTGACTGGGATCTCTTGCTTTTTCTCGGTGCTTACATCCTACATCTCAGTTTGCATACTCCAACAAGATTTTCTAGTTTCAAGGATGCAGGGTTGCATCTTCCAAAAAATGTGACCCCCTGGAGTCTCAGATGGGAGGCTAGGTAAGAGGATAAAACAAAGATCCAAGAAATTCTGGCCAACTCTTTCATCTACGTTCCCGCCCCTTCCACTTCCCAGGGCCCGGACGGCTTTTAATCCCCATTCCTCACTTCTCAGGGCTCCAGGCACGCACCCAGCCTCAAGGGGTGGACGTTCCTCCCAGGAGCTTTCTCAGCTCCGATCTATTTCAAAGCGTCTTCCTTACAGGTCCATCAGAGGGACCCGGGGCGCGGGGCCAGCTTCCCGGGCCACGCTGCGCTGCTGACACGCAGGCGCCGGAATCAAAGCCACGCTGGGTCTCGCAGCCAGGTCTCCGCGCCAGGCGAGGCGGGCGGCTCGGAGCGCTTCCTGTGTGCGGGGCTTCCCACAATGCACCGCGCAGGCAGCGGCGGCGACCGCGGCGGCGCTCTAGCCGCGCCATGTCTGCCTCTCGACTGCTCTGGGAGGAGGAAGAGAAGGAGGAAGAGGAGGAGGAGGAGGGGGAGGAAGAGGAGAAAGGCGCAGGGGTGGGAGCTGTCGCCGGAGCTGCCACAGCAAAAGTTCTCTCCCCTCCCCCTCGCCCTCCTTGCCGGGCCCGTGGGAAGGTCGGAGCCGCCGCCGCCTGCAGTCGGTGACCGCGCGCCTCGGCGCCAGCCCGCGGTAAATGCTCGGCCTGCCAGGCCCGGGCCCGGGAGGGCGGGGGAGGGGAGGGGGCGGCGCGCGGGGGGAGCGCGGCGGCGACGGCCTGACCCGCGGGAGCGGCGGGCCAGCCGGGGGGCGGCCCGGGAGGCGGCGGGCGCAGGCCGCGGGAGCGCGGGGCTGGGGGACGCGAGGAAGCGGGGCGAGGATGGTGGGTCGGGGCTTGGAGAACGGAGAATGACGGGGGCGGCGGAGGCGAGCTGGCGGCCTCCGAGGCCTGCGGCCGGTGTCGGGTAGGAAGGAGGTGGGATGCTCGCGGGGAGGCCTAGGGGTGCCAGGCTGTGGGCGAGGAGGCCGGCCAGACCCCAGGGCTCTCCACCGTCTTGGTGCAGTGCTTTATGCACCGCAGGCCTCGGTCGCCGCTGCTGCCTCGGAGTGCTCTTTGGCTGCAGGGAAGGGCAGGGGCTGGAGAAAGGGGATTGCTTGCAGGAAGCATAGTGGGAGTGCGAAAGGGGAGAAAGGGGCCGGAGGGGAGATGCCGGATAGGTGGAGGAATGCCGGGGGTGGCTGTGGAGCAGTCTTGAGGATTCTGGGGGTGTTCATTGTGCAGATATGTTAGGCGTTTCATTATGGAAAGAACTGAAGCGTTTCCAAGGCAAGGGAAGAAGGCAAAGAGTAGTTTCTGTGGATAGAAGGGAGAGCATTTGAAGCCAGAGGAGTGCTAAATACTAGAGAAGATGCAGGGAATGCATAATAGAAGAGACAGATGTAGCATAATTATCAAATGCTGGCTCAAGGTCTAAAGAGTTATTCCAGATGGGCCAGAGTGGCCTAGTTCGGAACCTGTTTGGGCTCTTCAGTAGATGACATCCGGTAAGTGCGGGTCCCCCTGTGGTTGGGGTCATTGAGAATTAGTCTCTTACCCTGTAGATTGGTTTGAGACGTTTTAGTGCCGCACTACTGAACTGAAAATCTTTGAAAGAGACCTTGAGAAACCGCCTGGCCTATGGGGATTCTCGAGGCCATGGAGTTTAGAATTTTTGCAGATTTGGAGTATTGCGGGAGGCTGGATGAACACTGTCTTGGCAGAAACTGGAATAGGAATTACTTGGCCTGGAGGTTTTTATCTTCACTCCAAAGCTTTCAGGGTTCCAGAAGAGCTGGTGCCGTATTTCAGCCTGGGTTGCAGGACACAAGATTATAATTGTTCTTGTTAAGAGTCAGTGCATTATCGTCCTGTCTTTGCATTTGTAGCCCCAAAGGAGACTAGTTGGATTGGTTCTATACCTCGGGTTGGCGGGAGATCCTTTTCCATTCACAATTCCGGATGTACTCTGTCACCGAGGCATGGTGTTACTGAAGAAAATAGCATCTGCCAGCAAAATGTAGACATGCAGAATGGAGGCTCTATAATATCTGTGTTGATCTTAGGTTATACGGAGGTCAAGAGTAGTTAATCATGATGTCTAAGGAAACTTGAAGTGACCGGATGAGTCTAGGTCTGGTGAGGACTGACATGACAGTTTGCATCTCTGTCAGGAAACCAAGTTCTTACTCTTTTGCTTTCACCGAATGCACATTAGACCTGATTTTCAAGAAGGAACACTGGGAGGACAGTGTCTTGTCTTTTTGTTGTTTGTGTGTGGTGTTGGCACCCCTCTCCCCCAGGGTTTCTCTTCGTAGTTCTGGCTGCCCTGGAACTCAGTTTGTAAACCAGTTTGGCCTTGAACTCAGAGATTCCCCCTGCCTCTGTCTCCCAAGTGCATGGCTAGGTCAGTGTCTTAAAGTCTACCTGAATAGTATTCATCTTTTGTTATTAAAGAGGAATTACATACATATTATGTTGTATTATTACTTCAACTGAATAGAAGATTATAAATGTGTTAAATGTGACAAATCTTTTTATGGAAGTTGAAGATGGAGTGAAATTTGGGGAGGGATGGGAAACTTAGTTATCACTCTTTCCTTTAGCAAAAGTTTCATTTCTCTAGCTAAGATGGTACTTAAGGGAGGAGATTTCTTTCATTACACATTTTCTTGTAGAAATAATCAAGTTTTTTGTTTTAAAAACCTTGGAAAATTTCCTGTTAGTGCATTTAGGTTTGCTTTTAAAGATTTTATTTTTATTTATGTGTTTGTGTGAACATATGCCATGGGTGTGTGGGTACCCAAGGAGGCTGGAAGAGACTTTTGGGTCCCCTGGAGCTGGCATGACAGGCAGTTTTGAACTGCCTGACTTGGGTGCTGGGAACTGAACTTGGGTCCTTTGGAAGAAGTACTCTTTAACTGTTGTCGTTTTTCCAACCTGATTTGCTCACTTTTAAAAAGGGCTTACTTGTACCCATTTTTATTATCATCCTGGTGTGAGAGGCTCAGCCTCTGGCCCTAACTTGTACAGTATGATGTCAATTCTTTTACTACAGTGCACCTAAATATAGTATGTTTTCCTTATGCAAATACTATGAATGTGTATGTAATTTGAAAAATTGTTCTGAGGGGACCAACGACGAAAAGCAGACCCTGTCAATTGCAGTTTTGCTTTCTAGAGATTGCTGCCTGCTGTGCTGAGTGTCCCCCTCCCCTTTTTTTCTCCTGAGACAGGGTATCTATCCCGATGTAACTCTGGCTGCTCTAGAACTGACTGGAGGTCAGTCTGGCCACAAACTTAACAGAGATCCACCTCTTGCATTACCACTCCCAGACTCTCCTTTTTTTTATTTGTTCTTAGGACGGGTTTGTGTCACCCAGGCTGAATAGCCTCTTAAGTATGTAGGGAAGCCAGGCGGTGGTGGCACACACCTTTAATCCCAGCACTTGGAACTGTGAGTTCGAGGCCAGCCTGGTCTACAGAGGGAGTGCCAAAGCCACAGAAAAACCCTGTCTCAGAAAAACAAAGACACACACACACACACACACACACACACACACACACACACACTATGTAGGGAAGATGACCCTGACTTTCTGAACCTTTTGTTTTGCCTCCTTAAGCTCTGGTATTAAAGATGTGGCTTCATTTAGTTTATGCAGTGTTGGGAATGAAAACAGGACTTTTTTTTAAGCTATACATTTCCCCCACTGCCTTCCCTCCTCTTTTCCCTTCCACCCCCCTTTTGTGTTTGTTTTTGTTTTTTGTTTTTTGTTGCTCTTTTGAAATAGGGTTTCTTTGTGTAGCCCTGGCTGTCCTGGAATTTGCTCTGAAGACCAGGCTGGTTTTGAAATCACAGAGATCTGCCTGCCTCTGCCCACCAAGTGCTGGGATTAAATGCATGTGCTGAACCCAGGGCTTTGCCTGCTGTGTAAATACTACCAACTGAGGTATAACTTGAGCCCCACTTTTTGTTTTTTTTAACCTTGTTCTTTCCCTACGCCTTAAGAAAATAAACAGAAACCCTGAAAAACTAGAAAACATAAAAAAAAAAAAAAAAAAAAAAAAAAAGAAAAGAAAGAAAGAAAGAAAAGAAAAGAAGCACATTTTGTACAAAACAACGGGTCACCTTATGGCATTTTCTCTCACACCACACACACACAAAATACCCTTTGATCATATTTATCTCTGCTCCCGTATGTTCTCCCCCACACTTGTCCTCTATCACAGGCTGCTACTTCTAAGGATTAGTTTTTTTTTTTTTTTTTGTTTTTTTTTTTTTTTATGTTTTTTAGTTTATGTTTTTCTTCAGCTCTCCTAAGTAGTTGGTAAGTTTATATTCTTTCTGTTTGGGTTATATAGCCCAGGGTGGCCTCAGACTCCTCTTGTCTTATCCTCCCAGGTGCTAGGATTAAAGATGTGTGCCACCATGCTCTGCTCCATCATTTCTCTTTACCAAAGTGACATCATCATTTTGGATAATAACTACAGAAGTTAGCTTTCCTTAAGTGAAATGGATGAATGAATGTCATTGATATTTTTTCCTCTCTTTTGTTCTCCATTCTGATCTTTAGTTATTTTTGTTTATTAGATGCTTTATACTTTCGAATGATGTGCTTAAGTCTTGATATTAAAAATTTTATTTTAAGTTTAATTTGATTTAAACTAAAAAAAAGTACTATTGCATGTGGGCACATGTGCAGCAGGGTGACTATTTGTGGAGGTCAGAGGACAACTTTCAGGAGTTGGCTTTTTCCTTCACCCTTATGTGGTTCCAGGGATTGAACTCAGGTCATCAGGCTAGCATTATTAAGCAGCGAAGCACATTTACCCTCTTGGCCATCTCACTGGCCCAACTGAAGCCTTGAGTTTTAGAGGCTTAAAAACTTAAGAGGCTTTGAACCAACTACTTGAAGTTGTATCTTTTGACTTCCCTACTGTGTTAGAAGAGGCTTTAAGGGGCTGGAGAGATGGCTCAGGGGTTAAGAGCACTAGCTGCTTGCTCTTCCAGATAACCTGGGTTTGATTCCCAGCAACCACATGGTAGCTCATAATTGTCTATAACTCCAGTTCCAGGGGCTCCATACCCTCACACAGACACACATGCAGGCAAAACACCAATGCACATAAAATAAAAATAAAGAGAGAGACTTTAAACTTTTCTAACTTTAAAGGGCTTTGTTAAAGTAGTTAGAAGTATTGGGTGAAATGATGAAGGGAGGTTGCAACATTAGATTTGCTTGTCAGAGATAGAGAGGAGTTGCTTTAAAGTAGTAATTGCTTGTTCACCTTGGAATTACCTACCAGGTTGCTGCATATTCTTTGGCAGTCTTCTGGAGAGTTTTAGTTGATGAAATGAGGAATTGTGTTAAAATGACCCCTGAATGTTCATTCCAGGTGTCTGAGGTATTTTTTGTTTGTTCATTACCTCCTTCATTTATTCATTAGAGATAGGGCCTTGCTAAATTGTTCCAGACTGGCCTGGAACTTTAGAAGTTTCCCAGATTCACCTAGGTCTTGGGATCCTTCTGCTTTAGTATTTTGAATTACAGGCATGCACTACTGTGCTTGGCTGTAACATTTTTTAAAATTGCATTTATTTATTGTGTGTGAGTGACACATGCATGCACACACATACACCATGATACGGAGG